CGTTGTGATGGTTGACATGAAAAAAGAATACTGGCCCTTTCAGGCGACGACGGCCGACATCCGTGATCCACTCTTGGTTCTTCCATTCGCACTCCTGGCGGGTATGATTCGTGGCACGCTCGCGCTGACGGCCACGATGAAGACAACTAGCGCTCGAAATGAACAGGAACGCAACGAGGCTGTGCAGCATGGCAAAAACTTCGCCGTGCACAGAGGAATTTGAAAATGATGCGTGGAATCGACAGCCGAGGAGATGTGATGTAAGAGAGGGGCTGTCCCGACTGCTCGATTACCGTCGGGGCGTTGAACTAAGGAACCCTAAATAAGGAACGAGGCCCCTTTTTCCCATGAATTAAACTTCGAATTCCCATGGAAAACCTCCGGAACACCTGAGGCAAGCTGTAAACAGATCAAGGAACACCGAGCCCCTCCCCAACGCAAAAGGGTTCCTTCTTCAGCGCCCCGACTGTATGCTCAGACGGTTTCGGGCTTGACCTTGAGCCCAAATGGCTAGGGAACGGTCTCGAGCCAGTCCTGGCGGCCTCTGGAGCCGCCCGAGAATCCTCGGGGCCGCCCCGCAATGGGCTCTTGGACCGCCCGGGGGGGCCCCATGCCACGCCGAGGCCGTGGTTCCAGGCCCGCCCCCGGCTTACTCCGACATGCACTATGCCAATACATGTGTATGTGGATATACATATATATATATATGTGTATGTATGTATATGCATACATACATACATACATACATACATGCATGCATACATACATACATACATACATACATACATAAATACATACATACATACATACATACATACATACATACATACATGCATGCATACATACATACATACACACATACATACATACATACATGCATGCATGCATACATACATACACCTATATATATACACATGAACATATACACATACGTATACATAAGCATATGCATACACATATACATATACATAGACCCAGACATATACATATACGTATACACATACGTATATATACATATACATAGACATAGACGTATACATATACATATACATATACATATACATATACATATGCATATACATATACATTTACATATGCATACATATACTGGAACCATCGCGCGCGTTTCGCGCGCGCATGCTCAAGTTCTAGCCAGGCTCGACAGGCTAGCGCATGTAATCGCATTTCTTTGGAGAGCCTTGTGCATCTAACGACCTTCTTGGATGGAGTCCCTGCGCAAGCCTCGGAAGCATACAGACGGGGAAATGCGGAAACCACAGAATCACACATTCCCTTTAGGTGTTCGACGACTCGGGGCCCTGGAAGGCTTCCTGGGCTCTTCCTTCGGTGGTGACGGGGGCCTCAATCATGGCCGGTTGTGCAACCATAAGCGGGGGGAAATTTGGACAATAAGGACTCCTCGGAATTCCGTTTTCTTTCAAATTGCCAAGCCTGGGCTGTGGTACAGAAGGCTCTCAGGGGTACAGGCCATGTGAAGGGGCCCAAGGACACACACATAAATACACACAAATAGAATGATTCCCTATATTTTCCCATGTTTTCTGGGTCTTTGTCTCCCTGCCCAAGTCCAATATTATCCCACATTTTCTTGGGAATCAACGATTAATTGTGTCTGTGTGTTTTTCCCTCCTGGCCATGTTCTGTCGGGCTGGCCCTCGGGGCCTCCTCGGCGGCGTCTTGGAGGGCCTTCAGGGCCTCCGCTTGCAGGGCTCTCGGTGCCTCTCCTGGGGGCCTCCCGCGGGGAGTCTCCGCACGCATCTGGGGGGGGCGCCTCGAAGACCTCCGGGAGAACCTCGGGGGAGAGGCGGTCGCAAGGCTTTGGGAGGTCCCCTCGTGTGCCTCATTCTAGGCGCGCGCGCGCTGACGTTCTGGCCAGGCTGGACAGGTCGGCTCGTGGGATCTCGATGTTTACGGTGGTTCCAGGGGCAGCCAAGAAGACACGAAGACGACCCAAGAGAGTGCCAAGAGAGCGTCAGAAAGTTCAACAGCATTCCCGAAAGAATCTTGGCAATGTGACCCCGAAATCTTGATGGGGCTCGGGATGGATTTGCACAAACTGAAAATTACCCCAGTGCGACCCTACCTAGAAGTTGGAGCCCCTAGGAAAGCAGCATTAGTTGCTATGCTATGCTATGCTATGCCATGCTATGCTGCGCTCTGATATACTATGATATGCTGCGCTATGCTATGCTATGCTATGCGATGCGATGCTATGATATGGTAAGCTGTGTTATGATATTATTTGATATGCTATGCTATGCTAAGCTGCGCTATGCTATGCTATGCTGTGCTCTGCTATACTACGCTACTATATGTTATGCTATGCTATGCTATGCTGCGCTGTGCTGTGTTGTGCTGTGCTGTGCTGCGCTATGCTATGCTATGCTATGCTATGCTATGCTATGCTGCGCTATGCTATGCTGTGCTGGGCTATGCTATGATATGCTGTGCTGCGCTATGCTGTGGTACGCTATGCTAGGCTATGCTGTGCTCTGCTATGCGAAAGTTCAGCGAAGCTAAGGTGAAGGTAAACTAAGCTAAGGTAAACCAGGGCTAAGACGAAGCTAAGCTGAGCTAAGCTAAGATGAAATACGTTAAGCTAAGATGAGATAAGCAACGCTAAGCTAAGGAGACGTAACTGGGGGAACCGCGTGGCGGATGCCGGGGGTGAGAACCCTTCTAGGCAAAGAATCACTGGAATTCGTTGTTTTTCAAGTAGGGCCTCCTAACAATAGTGCGAAGGAATTTGGGGGGCCTAAAAGGCGTGCATGGGGCTCTTGGGAGGCAGCTTGGAGACCGCTGGGGGGCTGTTTGGGGGCCTCTGGGGGCAACTTTTAGGCCTCCTCGGGGCTCTTGAGGGCCTCTTCAAGCTGGTTGGGGGACTCTTGGGGCCTCCTGGGGGCCTCTTGGAGCGGAAGGCAGGGATTGTCGATCAGTTCCCCTATTGGACGGCTTTTCGAGTCATCTTTGGGCTCTCTTGGGCTGCCTCGGGGCGCTCTTGGGCCGTCTCGGAGCCTTTCTGGCTCGTCTTGGAGCTGTCTTGGGGGCTCTTGGGCGGTCTCGGGGCGGTCTTGGGGGCCTTTTCGGCCGTCTTGGAGCGCTGGAAGCTCGAAATCGCGAGAAGGCTAAAAACCTAAACAACAATAATCAAAAACATGAATCAACCATGTTGGCCTCTTCGGGCGCTCTCGGGACGCCACTCGGAGCTCTGTTGGCGCCTCTCGGATGCCTCCTGGGAGCCTGAAAGGCTGTCGGCAGTGTCTTGGGCTGCTTGGGAGCGTCTTGGCCCGTCCTTTCGCGTTCTGGGGGCCACTTGGGGGCGTCTTGGGCTGTCCTGGAGCGTTTTGGGGGTTCCCTGGAACGTCCTGGGGCGCGGTATCGGGAGATGCCCCTAGATGTTCCCGAGATGTGGGATGCTCCCGGGGGGGGGTATTCGTATTTGCTTATATTATTGTATTCGGATAGTAATATATCTGTATATATATATATAGTTACACACATATATCTATATCCTATATATAGATCACGACCGTCGTCATCATCGCCAACACAATGAGCGTCGTCGGTACCATCGTAGCCATCAACATCATCATCGACTATCAGCGCCAACTCCCTGAAGCCTCGCACCGCATCGCCGATGCTGTGCCGATGCATTGACGATGCACCAGCGCCGTCGGCCACGTCGGTGACGCCAGCGTGGAGAAAATCGGGCTCCACATCGAACCGCATCGCCGATGCATCGGCGATGTGGCGCGATCCTCCAATCCCACCTGCTCCGACCCTCTCCAGCAGGCCTAGAAATAGCGGGGGGCCCACCCACCCACCCCTCCGGGTAACAACCGCTGCCAGGAAGGTTACCCCCCCCCCTGCAGGCCGAGGCGGGCGGGGCTGCCAGTCTCGCTTCATGCGCGACGAACCGCATATGTCAGTGCTCTCAAGAGCGCAGGAGAAGTGAGCCCCATGCGCGGAGCAACGACGCGGCGGCCACTCCTCCCATGCACCTGGGCACTCGAAGGCATCCCGTGCTCGCGACGGCGCGCAAGAAACAGCCGGCAGGCGCCAAGGAAACTCTGACGAGGCTTCAAGACGCCCACTGGCCATCGCTCGGACGTCCATTCCTTGTGTTTTTGTTCGGTTTCGTGCGTGGTTTTTTCGCCAACTGATCAAGGATGCTCCTCGATTGTCCTCGCCGAAGGAAAAATGCTCACGTCCGAGCGATGCCAAGGGATTCAAGGCGCTCACCAAGACGCCCACCACGACTGTGGTCTGGGGGTCGGCGCAGCGGCGCAGGCCTCTTGAATGACGCGATGGCAGAGCGGTGGAGGAGAAGCCCAGTGGCCGCCAAGAGCATGCAGAATCGGCAAAGAGGTCAAGATCCTTCTCCATCCTCCACCCCTGGGACCTGAGTTTACGTCGGGCGTGTCCCCCTACAGGGGGATTTTCGATGCAAAATTTTAAAATTCTTCAAAAATACCCCAAGAAGGTCAAAAAGTAGTCTAAAAATAGTCCCCAGACTATTTTTTGACTATTGTTTGATTATTTTGGAGTATTTCTTATTTTTCGTCGAAAATCCCTCTGTAGGGGGACAGGCCCGACTTAAACCTGAGTCCCGAAGGTAAAAACGTCGTTAAACGCTGCCCTCCCACCCCAGGGCCGGTCGGCCCAGGGGAGGCTGCTCAAACTAAATAGCCAGGTGACAATCATCCTGGCCTCATCCCCCTCCTCCTCCTCCTCCTCCTCCTCCTCCTCCTCCTCCTTCTCCCCCTCCTCCTCCTCCTCCTTCTCCTCCTCCCCCCCTCCTCCCTCCTCCTCCTCCTCCTCCTCCTCCTCTCCTCCTCCTCTTCCTCCTCCTCCTCCTCCTCCTCCTCCTCCTCCTCCTCCTCTCCTCCTCCTCCTCCTTCCTCCCCCCCCCCATCCTCCTCCTCCTCCTCCTCCTCCTCCTCCTCCTCCTCCTCCTCCTCCTCCTCGCTGCCCCTGGCCTTGTAGAGGTTGTCCCAGCACGAGTTCACGCAGAAGGCTCCGCCTGCCCAGCCGCCCCGTGCGCCCTCCCGGGGGGCCAGCCAGTCAGAGGGGGCACGGGGAGGTCGCCCTCGCCATCCCGCTCCTCACCCTCCGGCTCTTCCTTGCACCGCCCCTCCTCTGGCTCCTCCTGCTGCTTCTCCCCTGCTCCTCCCTCCTCCTCCGCTTGCTCCCCTGCTCCTCCTCCCATGCCTCCGTCCCCCCGTCCCCCTTCCAAGGGGCAACAAGTAAGAGGCTCCAGGAGGAGGGCGGGGAGGTCCTGCTCTTCCTCCTCATCCCCCTTACTCTCCACCGCCTCGGTCTCCTCATCCCCACCTTGTGCAAGAGAGAATGGGAGGAGGATGTCGTCCACGCCCTCCTACTCCACCTCCTCAGCCGAGCCCGGCGCCCCCTATCCGAGGGGCATGGTGTGAAAAAAAGGTAGGGGTAGCAAAAGGCGGTCATGCTCCATTCCCTCTCCTCCTCCTCCTCCTCCTCCTCCTCCTCCTCCTCCTCCTCCTCCTCCGTCTCCTGTTCTTCCACTCCGAATTGGTAGGAGGTAAGACGCGTGAGAGGAGTAGCAGGAAGAGGCCCAAGGAGGAGGAGGACCAGAGGAAGCCCAGAAGGCATCAGCGGTGTTGCAACACGCCCTCCCGCCCCGAGGCACCCTCCTCAAGAGTCCCCAGGAGCACATGCTCCTTTTCTGCCTGCGGGAGGCGTCCCCGGGAGCACATGCTCCTCTCTCTCTCTCTCTCTTTCTTCATATCGTCCCCCATCGTGCAATGAAAAAACGCGATCGCGGCTGTTACCGCCCCCCCTCTGGTCACGTCCCGATGATTCGCGTCGGCGCCGAATGGGAATCCCCAGGAATAGCCCAGAAAACTCGAACAGCAGATGCCTACGGGGATCTGCTATAGCAGAGCGTGCACCACGCTGAGAATTTGCAGATGCCTGCGAGGAATAGCTCCGGATAGCTGAACTCAGCATCGGGGAATGCTGGGAATCAAAGACGGGTTTGCTATAACCTCTCCATTCCCTCCTGTGCCTCCTACTCCTCTCGTCATCCCTCGTCCTCCACATTGCATTGCAAGGATATTACACAAGGACAGGAGGATGAAGGATGACATGGCAAGGAGGGAGGGAGCGGTGAAGGCGGGGCCAGGCCCAAACGACCTGCTTTGCTTCCATGTATGCAATCGGTTCGCGCTCTTGGGGGGGTCTGGGCGCCCTCGGGCCCAAGGGGGGGGGGAGGCTGGCCTCGTCGTCGTCGTCGTCGTCGTCATCCCACCTCTCCCTCATACTCCCTACCTTGGTCGTCCTATGCCCCCTTCAAGCGCTGCCAAGCGCTTCGCTGCACATCGCTGGGGCGCACTGGGGCCGTGCGGGATGAGGAGGTCCATTACATACACGTGGGCCACTTCCAAAGTATTCTATCGAACAACGCACAGCGTCTTCATGTCAGAACGATCGGGCTACGATGAAGAATCGCAAACTGGGCGTCTTAAGTAATCCAGGAAGCTGGACACACACGCGGTTGGAATCTAATGCGGAACAAGCGAAGCCAATTGCTGGATACACGTGCGAACGGCATTCGTACTTAAAACACAAGGGCCGAACCGTAAAAAGATATGCAGTCACATGTGTATCCAGCTCTCGCCCAAGCTGGCCACGCCATGTGGACACAGCTTCCTGGTAGGAACCACATCGGACAAATGCTACTCTCTGTTCGGCGTAACTCCCCCAGTGGGGCGGGAATCCAAGGAAAAACTGCGGGGGGGGCTCCCCTCCACCTCCTCCTCCTCCTCCTCCTCCTCCTCCCTCCTCCTCCTCCTCCTCCTCCTCCTCCTCCTCCTCCTCCTCCTGGTGGCGACGAATCGCCACCAGAAGAGTGAACAAGCAGGTCTCTCCGGCCAAGCCCTGCCTCTCCTGCCCCCCCCTCCCAACTCCCTCCTCCCTTCGTCCTTGCGTGAAGCACCACCTTGCACTGTAACGAAGAGGACTGTAGCGACGAGAGGAGAACACGACGACGAATAGGAGGGACGACAGCGGGAGGGAAAGGAGGATGGATGAAAAAGGAACGAATACGAAGAGGATGATGAGGAGAAGGAAGGCGCTCTGCCGCAGCAAATCCGTATAGGTAGATACGCTCTGCCGTAGCAGAACCCTATACGCATCTGTTATCCAGACAGTTGTTGGTTACTCCTAGACGTTCCCAGACGACAACGGCGCGAAACGTGACGGGACCGTTTCCCCCCCCGAGTAACGCCGATTATCACTCGGAAACAAAACACGCTTTCCAAAGACCCCCATTCTCCTCCCCAGGAGAAAACAAGGGGTCGTGGGGCGGACATGCCTCGGATAGGATTGGCGCCTGCTACATTAAAGGATTCTCTCTCTCTCTCTATTTCTGTCCCAGTCTGTCTCTGCTTCCACATTGCGCCCTTCTGTCACCATGCTGAACCCAGCGACGTGATCCTAATTTCGTGCCATCGTTTGGGCCTCCGCTGCCAAAGGAACGAAGTGGGCACAACATCCAGCGGCTGTGAACCAAATTCTTGAACGTAAATGTGTTTATGACCATTTGATGGTTGACGTCATCTGTCTCTCTCTCTCTCTCTCCCTCTGTAGATGAATGTATGGCTGTATCGCTGTAGCGTTGGAAATATAGATGGTTGTATCGTTGGAGCTATAGATGATTATATACAGATATAGATATATGTACATCTGTAGACATCAAGTTTCTTTCTCCCTGGTCTGCCAGATCACCACCACTGCCACTCATTGATGACAACAATTTACTGACAACGAGTGCAGTGGACCACCACAAAAGAACGGTCTTGGACCGTGGGCATGCGTGTGAGTGTGTGTGTGTGTGTTGTGTGTGAGTTGTGTGTGTGGTGTGTCGTGTGGTGTGTGGTGTGTGGTGTGTGGTGTGGTGTGTGGTGTGTGGTGTGTGTAGTGTGTGTGGCGTGTGCGTGTGCGTGTGTGCGTGTGTGTGTGGTGTGGTGAGTGGTGTGTGTAGTGTGTGTGTGTGGTGTGCGTGTGTGCGTGTGTGCGTGTGTGCGTGTGTGCGTGTGTGCGTGTGTGCGTGTGTGCGCGTGCGCGTGCGCGTGCGCGTGCGCGTGTGCGTGTGCGTGTGCGTGTGCGTGTGCGTGTGCGTGTGCGTGTGCGTGTGCGTGTGCGTGTGCGTGTGCGTGTGCGTGTGTGTGTGTGTGTGTGTGTGTGTGTGTGTGTGTGTGTGTGTGTGTGTGTGTGTGTGTGTGTGTGTGTGTGTGCGTGTGACTGCGCGTGCAAGTGCAAGTGCACGCGAGTGCTACCAGTGAGTCCCACCCGTTGGGCCCCCCTGTCCGTGAATGTAGAGCACGCACACGTCGGACCGAGCGCCTGGGGCAAGCGTGCTTTCTCCGCCTATCGCGCGCGTCCACTCGGCATCGGCCCTGCCGCGCCAGCCGCACAGGACGAGACAGGCTAGCCGCCCGCAGCGAACCCTCTCAGCGATACCCCAAGACTTAAGTCGGGCCTGTCCCCCTGCAGGGGGAGTTTGGACGAAACATAAAAACTTAGTCGAACAATGCACTAACATATTCAGACATTGTCAAACAAATCAACCCCTTTAAAACTGTGTTTGGATATTCCTCCTGTAGAGAGACAAGCCCGACTTCACCCAAGACGCCAGCACCCCAGAGGTCACCAAGCTGAGGAGGCGGCGGCTGGGCGCGAAGAAGCGTCCGCGGCAAAGCCAGAGCCAACAAACCCTGACAAAAACAACCCGCCATCGCTCGGACGTCCATTCCATGTGCGTTTGTTGGTGTCATGCGTGGATTTTTCGCCAAATGATCAAGGATGCTCCTCGATGGTCCTCGCCGAGAAAAAAAGCACACGTCCGAGCGATGCCAAGGACAAGGGGGCAGCTAGCAGCACGAGTGGCTGGTATGAAGGCAACGCGCGCACACAGGCTTCGAATTTGGCGGACTTGCCCACAACGTCAACGAGGCATAGCCACTCTTCCCTGCCGAGTGGCGCGGCCGAACGTATCTCCCAGAGGGCATACACTGCGTGCCCAGGCGGGTTCTGAGAGGTCCCTGGGCAAATTGTCAGACTTCGCGGCAAGGTGGTCGAGGATACCGTCGAGCAGCTCAAAGAACTAGCGTGACATGGTGGTCAGACAGCCACAGACTTGATGCGAACAAGAGACCCAGACAGCACGAGGACAAGAGGAACAAGAAGGGAGGCACTAACACATGAGACTGCCGTCCCTGACATAAAGACTCAAGGCCAGAAACACGCAGACCTTTAGGAGCCTGAACCATTGCTCCACCACGGTCGACGCAACCGCTGTTATTCTCGTCGTCCTCATCCAACAAGCCCCACGGGTCATGCCAATAAGACCACGCCACGTCGCCAGCATCTTTGTCCTTTGGCAGGTAGCTGCAAGCAGACCGGCAGAATACATGAGAGTCATGAGAGCCGCGCGGTCGTGGAAATCGCATCCCGATGAACATTGACAATAACAACTTGTGGTGTGCCTATTTGGAAACGGAGGTCCTCCACATAGACTGCTGGAAGCTCGTGCTCGTACACGTCATCCGCTGTAGGGACTTCTTGTCCCTTGGGGCAACAGCAATGACTGCAACACTAACTACAGGAATAGCCAACTCCGCTAGCAATGCACTCCAAGCCCCTTGAGACAACGGCATGCATATATACAATTGTAGAGGGTGTGGCATGTCAGCAACCTCCTGATGCAGAACGAATACCAACACGTCTCATGGTAGCAGTGAGTAAATAGAGGGAGCCGATCAAGCCGAAAAGGAACCAACATCAACCTTCTCTAGCCAAACTGACGCTGGTCGACCCGGCAGCCGCGTACGCACTGCGAGCGGCCACGCACTCGCATTCATCCTACTCCACTCCCCCTTTGTGGTCTCACTCCTCTCTCTCTCTCTCTCCCCCTCCCTTCCCCCGCCTGACCTCAAACAATTCACCGGTGAGAAAAAGATCAGAAGCGGCCTGATCCCGTCAGCGCATCGAAGCATCTAGCGCTACAGTGCGCGAAACCGAGTACGCCAAGTTCGTGTCTTGACAACATCGACTGTGGTCTCTGACACCGCGTCCATCGTTCGGCCTTGAACGATTGGCGCTTTCCGATGTCGCGTGTCGTTCCATGCCGGCCCATTTCAAGCCGCTGGCGGCGTTCAGCTTCCGCGTTGACACGACACGAAACTACCGTATGCCTTATGGAATCGTGAGTGCTTGTCCACTGCTCTCCTCTCGCTGCCGATGCGGGTGCGCGAGTCAACGTCTCTATCTCTTGCTGCTGCTGCCCCCCCGTTGCAGCCGATTTGCGGATGGAGCTCGCACAACACAGTCAAGTCGATGAGCAAGGGGGGCAAATGCTTTGCCCATGGCCAGAGGAGTCAAACAGAGCAGCTATTACTCAAAGGGTGAGCCTTACTTCCAGGAGCTGGAAGAAACTACCCATGGAGTGCCCGACGTCAAAAGCTCAACCTGAGGCTTCGGGAGGTACACATCACCTCACACCGAGGGCAGGGCGTACTCCCTGGGCCCTGGAAAGCCAGCCGTCGACACTCCGTCGGATGATCCACTGCCCCTGCGTCGCTCCTGGGGGGGATCCCGTCGAGGCCTCGCTGACGCCTGCCACGCCCTGCCCCGACACCGAAGGCACCAGCGGGGACACCGGCCAGCACCGACCGAGCGGCACCATTCGGCCTTCTGGCCGCGCCGGCACGTCGGAGCGTCTGAATGGCACTCAGTCTTGAACTCGTGATCTTGAAGGGGCCCTGGGACACACAAATAAATACACACAAATAAAAAAATCCAAATATTTTACCATCTGTTCTGGGTATCTGTCTTCCCCCCCACTTCCCATATTTTCCTATATTTTCTGGGGAGTCGACGATTAATTGTGTCTGTGTGATTTTTTCCCTCCTCAGATCTTGCGGCACTCGGTGAGGCAGGAAAAGTGCACCCTGTCCGCCCCTCCTCGGCACCGTCTCTCTTTCCCAGGCCCCTTTCTCTCTTCTGCCCGCCGCGCTGCCAGGGCTTCGTACCAGTCGTCGTTGGCAAACAGGTCCAGGAAGTGTGCCAGAGCGGGCTGGCCCAGCTTCCGAGCTTCCTGCGGGGAGGCAGACAGGCGCGGCTCATGCGCACTGTGTGATGCAGCTCCCGAGAGAAACCTGGACCCCCCCCCGAGAGCCCTCCTGAAAGAGCTTCTGTAGTACCATTGGTGCATACTCCACCCCAGAGAGTGCATCGTGGCCGCAAGCCAGAGCTGCCTAGCAAATGTAAGGGCCTACTATGCAACGTGTTGTGCCGAAGCGCACAACCAACAACAACACAACACTACCCGAATGCAACCACGCGCCTGCGGAAACCAGCCAGGGACGTCCCTGACGCTGTCTATCCCGCGTCCCGTCGTATGTTCAGCTGCCCCGTTCCGAGCTCACTAAAGGCATCAGGTCAAGCGCAACATGAATACAGATTCCAAACCCTGGCGGGAGAGCCCAGAATCGAATCGATGTCGAATCGGCGATCGAAATTCATCGGATCGGCGGAAATCGGCAGCCGAGTCGGAAAAAGTCGAATCGGCAGACATCAGCAGGCTAGTAGTTCTCCAATGGGAAATCGGATCCCACATCGGAATCCGACATCGAATCGAATCGGAATCGGAACCCCTCGAAATCGAAGCGAATCGAATCGGCGGCGTCGAAATGAGCCCTGCCCTGGTAATATGGCGCCTGTCCCGAAGGCGACACAAGCCATGATAGAGTGACCGTGGGAGCTTGAACACACGGTTCAACGCTCTCAAAGCACAAAAACACAGCGGGGCGGTCTCGCGCGCCAATGTTCCCCATTGTCTGGCCGTGTAGCGTTGCCTGTTCCCTCGCGCGCTGGACGTAAGCCGCGGAAAGCATACCGCAACCGTTCCTTGGTGGCATGTGATACATGTATGTATATATATATATACATACATATACACATATACCTATACGACCACCCTTCGGGTGATAAGGAGGTTCGGTGGGGGGAGGATGCAGAGTCTCACTCGATCGGTCTCACTATCCATCTCACTATCGGTCTCGCTCGATCGATTTCACTCGATCGATCTCACAATCGATCTCACTCGATATATCTCATTCGCTCGGTCTCACAATTGATCTGATTATCGATCTCACAATCGATCCCACATTCGGTCTCACTATCGATCTCACTACCGATATCACAATCGATATAACATTCAACGTCATCATCATCATCATCATCAGCAACAACACCACCATCTTCATCGTCATCGGGACACTGTCATCTTCACATCATCATCATCGCCATTATCATCAACGCCATCATCATCATGCCATCATCATCAACGCCATCATCATCTCATCATAGTCATCATCATCGTCATCATCGGGACACAGCCATCGTCATCATCACCATCAACATCATCATCATCCTTCGGACACCATCATGATCACCATCATTTTCATAGTCAATATCATCAACAACATGGGGACACCATCATCATCAGCTCAATATCATCATCAACAGCATCAACAGCATCATCAACATCATCGGGACACCATCATCATCAGCAGCATCATCATCACCAACATCATCATCAACATCATCATCATCGGCACAACATCACCATCACCATTATCATCACCACCGTCATAATCATCATCATCATCATCATCATCATCATCATCATCATCATCATCATCATCATCATCATCATCATCATCATCGGGATACCCTAATCATCATCAGCAGCATCATCATTACCAACATCATCATCAGCAACAACGGGCAGAAACATCATCATCATCGTCATCTCATCATCATCATTAACATCATCATCATCACCAGGACACCATCATCGTCATCATCATCACCATCAACATAACCATCATGATCATCATCAACAACATCATTTTCGGGACACCGACGGGACACCGACGGGACACCGGCGGGACACCGCGGGGCCCCGGCCGCCCGGAAGGGAGACATTTGGTCCGGCCGCGCCTCAGCCACACGGGACACCAGCGGGACACCGGCGGGACACCGCGGGGCCCCGGCCGCCCGGAAGGGAATCATTTGGTCCGGCCGCGCCTCAGCCACAGGAGACTTTCTCTCGCCCGCCCACGCAGCTTCGCCTCGCCCGCACGCACGGCACGCACGAACACGAAACCGAAATCGATTTCCCGGTGGGGGGGCTCTCCGTTCCACTTCGATCTCACCCCCTCACCTCCGATGTATATATATATATATATATGTATGCGTGTGTGTGAAGATTGAGAGAGGGATACTAAGCAACGAACAAAACACTGTACCGAAAGCGAGAGAGTGAGACAGATCGAGAGTGACTGAACATAGGAAAAGGTGATCGAAACTGCCTTTGGTCCGAGAGCAGTTTGTTTGCGTGTGCTCTGTCCCCTGGGCCCTCTCTCTTATTCTTTATCTCTCCCTCTCTCTGTCTCTGTCTGTCCATCTCCCCCATCTCGCTCTCCTCGGAAGCGGGATGTATGCTGAGCGAACGTGCAACCTCGAGTGGCAGCGCGCGCAGAGTGGCCTTGGCACTGCCCGCCAGGGGCGCACACACACACACACATTCACACACACACACATACACACACAAAAACACACACACACACACGCTTGTCCCTCCCCCAGCTAGGTGCGGACACCTTCGCGAGTGCTTGAGCGGGACGCGCTCACGCGTGCTGAACCGCTCGCAGCAGTGCGAACGGGAAGCAGGCAGCAACCCGCAAACCGTCGCGCACCTAACGAATGACGCCCAAGATCGTGGAGGACGGGCGCGCAGCAGTACTGCAACTGACCCCTGGGGCGGCAGGGACGCACCCGCGGTGGGGAGCGCGAGAGGGGCTCAAACACACACACACACACAAACACACACACACACACCCATGCGCACGCATGCTCACCCACTCACAGAAATACTTACACGTGCGCACGCGTACTCATACGCACACAAACGCAGAAATAGATATGCACGCACACACACACACACACTTGCGGGCGGTCGCGGCCTCGCGCGCGGCGACGAGGCGGAGCATAATAAGAAGTCAGGGAGCGGCGGGAGCAGGCGCGCGCGACGGAGCCCTCCGATGCGGGGTCGCTTTGGCTCGCCGCACGTGGCACACACACACACACACTTGTTCCGTCGGCGGCGTGGCGGGGGCGATCCGCAACAACGAGGGGCGGCTCGGGGCAGCCGGAATGCGACGTGGCCAGCATGCGAGAGCGGGGAGGAAGGCAGACAAGGCGACCGCAGAGGGGGGAAGGGCGGAGGGCACTCGGATGTGGAAGAGTTCCAACACACACACGCACACACACACACGTCCATGCATCCCGATGCACCCATGGATCCTGCGTGGTGCCCCCGTCGGGCCACTCGCCCTCGTACTCGCCGTCCAACTCGGCCTGGCCGCTCGCACGGCGGTGCTGCGTCTCGGAACCCCCCAATGGTCCCCCAACGGTGGCCCCATCAAACCAGAGAGTCGATCACGCCGATCCTGTGCCGTGGGGGGGGGGCTTGAAGCACACACCAAGTCGTCGAGTTGGCCAGAGCGATCAGTCCACTCAAGATGCAGGATGCTGAAGCACATGTGAAGGGGCCCCAGGACACACAAAAAATACACACAAATAAAATTACCCCCGAACGACCCTACCTAGAAGTTGGAGCCCCTAGGAAAGCAGCATTAGTTGCTATGATATGTTATGCTATGCCATGCTATGCTGCGCTATGCTATGCTATGCTATGCTGCGCTATGCTATGCTATGCTATGCCATGATATGGCATGATGCGCTGCTCTGCTCTGCTCTGCTATGCTATGCTATGCTATGATGCGCTGTGCTATGCTGTGCTGTGTTGTGCTGCGCTATGCGATGCTATGCTATGCTATGCTGCGCGATGCTATGCTATGCTGGGTTATGCTATGATATGCGATGCTGCGCTTTGCTATGCTACGCTACGCTATGCTATGCTATGCTTTGCTCTGCTATGCTAAAGCTCAGCGAAGCTAAGATGAAGGTAAACTAAGCTAATATAAAACTGAGGTAATATTAAGCTAAGCTAAGGTAAGATGAAATAAGCTAAGCTAAGATGAGATAAGCAACGCGAAGCGAAAGGGACGTCACTGGGGGAACCGCGGGGCGGATGCCGGGGGAACCGCCCAGGGCGGGTTACACTGCCCAGCCCTTTAAGCCTCAGAGTAAGACCCCTTCTAGGCAGAGCCTAGGTAGGGAATTATTCCCCATATTTTCCAATATTTTCTGGGTTTCTGTCTTCCCCCCCACTTCCCATTGTTTTCCAATAACTGGGAATCGATGACTAATTGTGTCTGTGTCTTTTTCCCTCCTGAACATGGACGACCAAACAACGTGCTGCATACTCGGGCGCCCCGAAGAGGGGGGCCGGGAAGAGGGGGGGGTGCACCATGGCCCGAGGCATGCAAGCGGGCGAAGTGAGGCCAGGGGATGTGTTGCAAGAGGACGAAGCCATGCAATCCAGGAGATACAGTCGGGACACTGACCTAAGGAACCCTAAATAAGGAACGAGGCCCCTTTTTTCCATAAGTTAAATTTCGATTTCCGATCGAAAACATAAGGAAAACCTGAGGCAAGCTGTGAAACACTTCAGGAACGCGGAGCCCCTCGCAAACCGAAAGGGTTCCTTCTTCAGGGCCCCGACTGTAGTATCATAGCCCCGGCCACGATGCAGCCCATCTTGCCACTCTGCAGACGTAGCCTGGGTTATCCCGTCGATGGGGGGGAGGCGGCGGACGATATACTTAGGTCGGGTCTGTCCCCCTACAGGGGGATTTGGACGAAAAAAAGAACTTTCAAAAAATAGTCGAAGATACCAAAAACTACTAAACAAATAGTCCCCAGACTATTTTTTGACTACTTTTGAATATTCCCCATGTAGAGGGACAGGCCCGACTTAACGATAACCTTACCTTTTCGCCTTGGGCGCGCGCCAGTACTGCGTGGCTCTTCGAACCTGCGCAGCTGACAGGGTCAGGTCATCAGGGGGGAGGGGAGCAGGAGGGCCAGATGGCCGGGATGATCGCCGGACCCGGAACAGAGACAGTCTCAGATCCACGCCCCCTAATCTTAGGTCGGGCCTGTCCCCCTTCAGGGGGATTTTAAACAAAAAATAAACAAATACACCAAACATACTGAAAACAATGTTTTAAACATGAACAACAAATCGTCCCCAGACTATTTGTTGTTCACATTTGAGGCGCCCCCGGAAAACCCTGGGATAGCCTTGGCTGGGATCGGCGCCGGTGAAGGGCCAACGGCACGGCAACGCTGGCGTGGGAGGAGCCTGCCTCCCGAATACTGCCACGAGGTGGAAAAGGGAACGGTCGGAGATGAGGGGGTGGGAGGGAAGTGGAACGGAGAAACCCCACCCGGAAATCGGTTTCGGTTTCGTGTTCGTGCCGTGCGTGCGGGCGAGGCGGAGCTGCGTGGGCGGGACAAGGGAATGAACCCTCCTCTGGCTAGGGAGCGGCGAGGACAGCAGTCCGCCCCCTCCCGCCGCGTGGCGGGCGGATGCCGGGGGTGTCCCGTCGTGGTGTCCCGATGGTGTCTCGCGGTGTTCCATGGTGTCCCGTAGTGTCTCGACTGGAGTCTCGATGGTGCCCTGGTGGTGTGTCGATGGTGTCCCGCGACGTCCCGCCGTGGTATCTCGATTGTGTCCGGTGGTGTCCCGTGGTGTCCTGCGATGTCCAGTGGTTTGTCCCGTGGTGTCCTGCGGTGTCTCGTGAGATCGATAGCGATATCGATAGTGAGATCGACAGTGCGATCGATAGTGAAAATCGATAGTGAGATCGATAGTGAGATCTCTGGTGAGATCGGTAGTAAGGTCAATAGAGAGATCGATCGTTGAGTCGAAAGGAAAACATATAGTGATATCCATAGTGAGATCGATAGGGTAGTAGGACCAATGACGAGAGACAGTAAGATCGATAAGTATATCCAAAGTGATATCAATAGTGAAAGCGATAGAGAGGTCTGTATTGAGATCGATAGTGAGATCGATAGTGAGAGGGATAGTGAGATCGATACTGAGATCGATTGTGAGATCCATAGAAAGATCGATAGTGATATCGACAGAGCAGTCGATTGATTTCGACGTTGGTTCATCCCCCCGAACCTCCTTCTTACCCGACGGGTGGTCGTATAGGTAAGCAAGATGTAGACGAATTCGGACGACGACGACTCGAGAATCTCTAACAGCACACAAGACTGCTTGACCAGGCCTTTCCCGAGGAACCAGCGTTTCATCCCGAGTTGCTGTCCAACGAGATGAACAGCACCAGGTCATTGCAAGAAATGCTCTGCATCGGGAGCTGACACTTGTGCGAAACTTCCGCACTCCTCTTTCCCTAAGAGCTATTTCCCCTCCCAACCAACCAACCATCTCCTCCGACGTCACCTTTTGCCCGTGACGTTGGCCACAAAGGACCTCGACCCGTTCCTCGGGGCAAATGTTTCATCCTGATCCGTTGTTGATCGCCCTGGGGTGCAGCAAGGCCCCCCAAACGTATACCCGAACCCTTTCGCCGCGACTTGAATCACGAAGCGAGGGGATCTGGGGACCCCTCTCCAGATGCTCCGAGATGGACCAGATTTTCTGGCGCTGGTCACGCCGAGAAACATCCACACGTCCGAGCGATGCCAAGGAAAGGGACAGGGGCGGGGTGCCAGGGAGGACCTGTCATCGCTCGGACGTCCATTCCCCGTGCATTTCTCGGTTTCGTGCGTGGTTTTCTTCGCACAATGGCCCAGTATGCTCCTCGATGGCCCTCGCCAGGAAAAAATGCACACGTCCGAGCGATGCCAGGAGGATGGTGGGCGAGTCGGAGAGGCAGGGCAGAGGGGGGAGTCGGAGTCAGATTTGGAAGCCTGGGCAGCTGGTAAGCGTCGGTCTCGGAGGTCAGAAGAATCTGGAGGAGCATGTGTGCCGACCCCCACTTGCTGGGGAGGATCGAGCGCGTGAGACATGTGGCTGTCCATTCCGAAATCTGGTTGGATGGGCGGGGGGGGCCCGGGGAGCGGGGGTGGTCAGCGCATCCCCCGGGCCCCCTGGGGCCTCTTAATCTGCACTGCGTGGCTTGCAAAATGACCCAGACACATTCTGAGACGGCTCCAACACGCCAGAGGGACCTGAGGAATATCCAGGCTAGCATCACAAGGCCCGAGGAGCAGCACTCACTGACTAATTATGATGTCATTCCATGACTTTTCAGGGTGTTGTCTGTTCGGCCGTCTGCCAAACCCAAAACGGCGGGAGGGGCCCCTGGGAGGGGCCCCGGAGAGGCCCAAGGAGAAGAACCCGCGAGGACCTCAGGAGCCCTCCCCCACAACACAGCCCCAAGGACCCCCAACGTCGTGACCCCCAAGAGGCCGCCCTGAGGACCCACAACACTTGCCGTCGCTCGGACGTCCATTTCCCGTGCATTTGTCGGTTTCGTGCGTGTTTTTTTTGCTCGATGGTCCAGGATGGTCCTCGGTGGTCCTCGCCGAGAAGAAAAAATGCACACGTCCGAGCGATGCCAAGCCAAGAGGCCCCCCCGAGGACCCACAACAGGCTCCAGGAGCCTTGGACAACGCTCCGAGAGGCCGCCCCCGATCCCTGCGTCACGAGCCCCGCGACAGGCAGGCGCAAGCAGCAAGACGGGAAGCGCCAAACAACACAGACACGCGAAATCGCAATCCGCACGTGTCCTCGTCTGGGGGCCTGCGGCATGGCGCGGACCTCTTGAATAACAAAGGGGGGTGGGAGGCGGACGGGACCAGTGTGCAGGGAAGAGAATACGGAGGCCTCGACTGCGCCCTCGCCGGCCCAATCCATGCTCCCGTCGACTGCGGCCTCCTCGGCGGCCCAGGCAGAGTCCACAGCGGCCCCTTGGTCGTCGTCCCCGCCGGCAGCCTCGGTGCCCTCGTCGACCGCGGACTCCACGGCGCCCACCTCGACGGCCTCTGGGGCGTCCTCCACGGCCTCGCTGGTGCCCCCGTCGGCCGCGGCATCCACGGCGGCCTCTAGGATCGTGGCCTCGGTAGGGCCCGCACTGGCCCCGCCAGTGCCCTCTGGCGATGCGGACTGCTCGGCGTGCTCCGAGGCCTCGCCACTTTCTGCGACAGCGGCCCCTCGGGCGCACTCTTCCACCACCGCCTCGACGGCAGCTGGATCGTCTCCTCCAGCGCCAAGCTCCAGGGCTCCCGCCGCAAAGCCTCGGGGCTGGCATCGGCAGCAACAATTGCTGGGAGCAGGGGGGCGGCTCACGGGAAACGGGCAAAGAAAGTGTGAACGACACGGCGAACCAGGCCCCTGACTCCTGTGCCGCTGGCATACCCGTTGTCCTCTCCTACCCCACCCCTCATTCTTCCCCGTCGCGACAATCACATCACCGTCGCCTTCCTATAGCTAGAAACAACGAAATGTACACCAACAAGTCTAGCCAGTGTGGAACCCAAACAGTGCGTGTCCAGCAATCGTTGTGCGCAATAGAAATTGTGCGATATATGTTGTGCAATATATGATGTTCCATAGTTGCCAAGCCATAAATATTGTGCCGCTTGCGTTGTGCAATCTACGTTGTGAAATTTAGTTTGTGCCACGTGCGCTGTGCAACACCAGTGGTGTGATCTATGAAATACCATGTATGTTGTGCACCCTATATGAAAAAGTGTACGCGGTGCATTCTACGTAGGGCAATTAACCTATGACTATTTTGGCATTGTCCTCTCCACTGCTCGTGCAAACATCCCACCCTCCCACCCGCAACTTGGTTGCAAACCCCTTTTTCACAGCATGACTGCGAGTATCTATCAAGGGCTTCGAATTCTTGACGCAAACGACGGCGCCGACGACGACGACGACGGCACCGACGACGACGACGACGGCGCCGACGACGACGAGGGAGGAAGGAGGACGCACGATTTGGACCGTGACGGTGGGTACCACATGGCACTTGGCAACAACAGCGACGCCGACGACGGCAGCGAAAACGACGATGACGACGCCGCCGACCACGACGATACCGACGACACCGACGACGACGACGTCAACGACGCCGACGACGACGACGACGACGACGACGACGGCGGCGACGACGACGACGTCGCCAACGAAGACAATGAGGAAGGAGGGAGGACGACGACGGCGACAAGACGACAACGACGTCTCCAACGACTTCGACGACGCCGACGACGACGACACCGACGACGACGACGACACCGACGCCGACGACGACGACGATGACAACGACGACGACGATGACGACGCCGACGACGACGATACCGACGACACCGACGACGACGACGTCAACGACGCCGACGACGACGACGACGACGACGACGACGGCGGCGACGACGACGACGTCGCCAACGAAGACAACGAGGAAGGAGGGAGGACGACGACGGCGACAAGACGACAACGACGAGGGAGGAGGGAGGACGGCGACGACGCGACCGACGAAGAAGGAGGAGGGACAGCGACGCCGACGACGGCAACAACGAGGGCGGAGGGAAAACGACAACGACGACGACGACGACGACGACGACGGCGACGAAATAGGAGGGACGACGACGAGACGCCGACGACGGACGACGACGACGACGAGGGAGGAGGAGGAAGGACGACCACGGCGACAACGACGACGGAAATGACCACGACGCCAAAAAGAGGACGACGACGACGAACGCGAGGAACGACAGGGGACGACGTAGGCGACGACGACGACGACAACGACGCGGGAGGAGGGATGACGGCGACGACGACGACGACGCAAAAGCGCGCGCGCACGCTTTTGTTGAAAATACGTGTTGCGAAACCTTGTGTTTTTGTAAGTTTTTTGGACACACGATTTTGACATCCTTCCGAAACCGATGGGTTCTTAAGTTTTTCGGCATACGCGCGCGACGACGCGCGCGTCTGCACTTCGTCTCATTATGTTGCAGGGGATTCTCGCGACGGCACACGCGCAAAGGCGTTCGACAGATTTCGACACGAGCGCGCGCGAAGCCCGTTTGGTAGCATGTTGTGAAAATCTTGAAAAACCTATGGTTTTCTTAAGATTTCGCAAGAGCTGTCGCGGAAGCTTGTTTAGCAACTCGGTGCTGCGAAACCCTGTGTTTTTGTATGTGGCTTGGGAACTCGATTGCGAAATTATTCCCGCACCGAAGGTGTTTGAATGATTTCGGCATGCTTGCGCGACGACGCGCGCGTGCGCATTTCGTTTCATCTGTTGCAAGGGATCCGCGAAACAAGTGCTATGTTCGAACAAAAAATGTCACCGCATAGTTGTTTTAAAAGGGAACCTCAGGGGGGGAACCCGGCCTAGCTGGGGTGATTCCATTTTTAGGATGGACGGATGGTCGGAATCATATATGATTTACATACCCGAAAGGGGAACGGATAAGTCCGGGGGGGGTAGAGTCTATTCTCCCTTTTAGAAAAGGAGAATTCAGTTTGGAAATCGCAGTTGTCAGCTGCACTGTTCGCGCAATCGTCCCACCAACCCACCCGCCAATTGTTCCGCAAAACTGATGCGGCGGCGATGTTGATGAGTGCTTGGTATTGGCTGGTGCAGCGACGCGGCCGCCATTGCCCACGCATGCTCGCACGCGCAACGGCCAACCAATTCGGCGCGACCGACGCGGCCGCGGTGGGACTTTCCAGCGGGCACTTCACTTCGACTCGGCCGCTTGGGCGGGCGCGGTCTCATGGCAACGTCGATAACGGTAGACACGAGGATGCTAGTAGCGACGCTGGCGACGCTGATGGCAAGGGCGACGGCGCGGCCAATGACGGCGCCGATGCTGGTCACGCCGGCGACGACGACGGCGTCCTCGCGTGGGCGATGAACGGTCTGGACGGAGATCGACATGCGCGCGCGGCCGACGCGCGAAAGCGGCCAGCAAGGTACTATTTGACACGCATCGTACCAGCCAGCACGCGCGCAAGGGCGTTCGAATGATGTCGACATGCGGCACGAAAAGGCCCGTTTGGCAGAATGAAATGCAAATGGTGGCGAACATTTCCACGACACATGACGGCAGCGAAAGCGCAACCTTCTCTCTGAAAACGGATGTTTCAAACGATATGATGTTTTTTTTGTGTTCGGGGCACTTTGGAAATTCGTTCGAAACCAACGCTGTTTGAAACGTGTCGGCATCCGCGAGCGACAGCGCGCGCGTGCATTCCGTCCCGTGCTGCGCAACAGCTATCGCACAAAGGGCGCCCGAACGATTTTGACATGAACGCGCGAGAGGCCCGCGTGGTAGCAGTTTGTAAAAGCGCTGAACACAACGACTGTTAACTTATGAACTAGCAAGAGCGAGGGAGCAACTGCGCTTGAACATTATCACTGCGGACCAAGAGGTCGGCGTAGGCCTCTCTTCCAGCAGAACGCAACCTCTGCAAAACCAATGGGGCACGGACATCCATCCCTGAAGCTTCGACGGGCAGAGGCCTGAGCCCTCTGTCAACCAGCTCAACGACGATATGTTCTAGGGGCCCCCTCGCCTGAAATTAAACGGTGCTTCAGCAACGCGGACGAGACGCCAGCCTCGGTGACGACCTCATCTATCCATAGCTCCGACCAGCGCTCGCTGGTAGCTTGCGCGCGATTGACGGGGTCGCCAACGACCTGACCATCTACCGTGGGGCCCTGGCTCGCCGCCGCGGGGCCCTTTAACGATTGCGCGTAACTAATCGGCCCAGCTTTGTGCGCCGCTGTTCCTCGGCCCAGCGGATGAACGAGCGCCGTCTTCGACCCTGGCAACGACCGCGGGCACGATGAGCCACGCGATCAATGAAACTGACGAGATCGCCCGAAGCACAGCGCGGCCTACTGCGGAAGCCCGCGAGGCCCGGCGCGCGCTTCTCAGCGGCTCCAGGCCCTTTGCCAAAGCACCCCTCAGCAGAGGCGGACGCGACTTCCCCGCTTCGCAAGCGAAGACGCTTCAGATAGATGCCTGATGCGCCGCAGCTTTGCCATGAGCAACCGGCGCCTGACATCTCTGACTGACAGCGCGAACTGCGCGCCTCAATCCGCCGACGCCGTCAGTCGCGCGAGCTCTGCCAGAGCTCGAAACCCTGAGCTCGCCCAAAGACAGAAGCAAATTGGCAGGCTGCGATGCGAACTGAAAGCCTGCTCCAACGCCCACGCTGCGATGTGCGACATCAATGAAACCCTCGAGATTGACTTGCCCCAGGAAGCGCCCGCACACCAAGCGCCAGCGCGCAATTCTGAAGGTCGGATCGCCGATGCCCAAAACCGCGGCCCAGCAGGGGACCGGAAATTCAAACTCCACATCGGCGTCCACATTGATCGCGGATGCCGCTGCCCGGGGCGGACGCCGCCGCCTGCGAGCCTTCGAGCGCTCGTCGTTGGGACCCGCAGCCTTATTTGGTCGAAGCTCTCGAGGTAGCGGTTCAGCAAGACGCGGGCGCGGGGGCCACCGTTTGCGCGCGGCGTCCTTGAGTTCAATCTGCAGCGCGCCACGCTACTTCCAGAGTGCTGCGACGTGCCCCCCGACCGCGCGGCGGCCCTCAGTGCCGACCTTCACAGCGGCAAAATCGATGGACGAAGCTTGCTGGCCATTTTGGCACATCGCAGCAAAGTTAGCAGGTGGAGCAAGAGCACCCACATCACCCTGAGCGTTCCAATCCCCGACCGCCAGGCACGGATCAGCCACGCTCTGGAGATGGGGAAAGGGAGCAAGGGCGGCCAGCGCTTGACAGTTGCGCCCGTCGGCGCCGAGCCCTGGCCACAAGAACAATGCGACCGGCGCCCGTCTACCTGGGGCGGGGCGCCGAACCACGGCTGCAAAGCCCTTCGTCGGATCTGGTCGTCGCCCAGCCACGGCGCGTTGCCGGGCGGCCGGGATAGAGTCAGCAGCGGAGCGCCTGCGGGCCAAAACCCACCCCCCTCCAGAAGGGCACCCGCGCACGGCGGGCGCGCGCCCGGCGGCGCTGGCCCCCCGACCGCCCTCGGCATCAAAAGCGGGGCCTGCGACGCGCGCCATCACGAAGCAAATGGCGCCGCACGGGGCGCGCCTAGGTCGAGGCGGGCCCGCGGGCTCGATTCGGCGACGTCGCCGTGCAGGATGGAGAAATCGCCCGGGTCGGCGTCGAGCTTGCCCGGCGTCTCTGGCAGGAGGGAAGGTGATCCAGCTGCGGGGCCCCCGCTTCTTAACCGACGTCAGCAAGGAGTGCTGGATCCGACTGAGAAGGCTCAGCAGAAACCCCAGCGGGGGATGCGCCCGCGTCCGCCGCGCCCAGCGCCCGCTCCAAATCTCAACGCAGAGGCCATGACCCGCGGAGCCCACGACGGCGCGAGCTGATCTTTCGCAGACGCTCTCGCCGACGCCCACGTCCTCAAGGATTGGCGCATGAACAGCCCCTGCGCCCGACGCCAATGCGCGCGGAGCCTGCGGGGCGGCCGGAGACGATCCGCCCCTGGAGGCCACTGCAGAGGACGCCCTTCGCGATCTGCAAGACCCAACCGATCCTCTCGCGGCGGGAGAAGCCGAGCGAAAAAAAGGATCGCGCTGGGAGCCGCAGTGGTTGAAGTGCACGCGGCCTGGGCGATGCGACTTCCAGGCGCTGGAATCTCTGCGAGCCGAGCCCCAGGGGCCGGGCCCGCAGCTCGAAGACGCCGCAGTCTTGGCGCCGGCAACGGGGAGGGGCCCGTCGCAGAACGGAAGCGCCGCCGCGAGAGAGACAGCTCGGCGCCTCCGCGGCGCCCGGATGTCCGAGAGCCCCCTAGCCTCGTTGCTGCCCGTGGCGCGGCGAGCCAGCCCCCCTTGCTCGCCAGGATGCAAAAAAACTCTCGCGACGCCCGCCTCGTCGGCAGCGCCTCGCGCGCTCGCAGCTGAGAGCGGCCGCGCCCAGACCAGAAGCTGCTAGATTGTCGTGCCAAGTTGCTGCGGCGGCTTCCTCCGAGAGGGGGCGAAAGGCAGGGTGGGCCAAGGAACTGGCCATGAAAGGCATGCAATGCCGTTTCCACTCTGCAGAATCTGCGTTTTCATCGACTGCTCGAGGGTCAGGGGCCCACCTGGCGGCGCGGGGGCGCAAGGCGTAATCGGTCACATCTGGACTGTCGACGCCGCCACGGACCCTGCGCCCCGAGCCGAATCGCTCCCTTTCCGAGGCGACGCCGCTACGCGAGGACAGCGCCCCCCCAGCCCGAAGACAAAAACATGCCACCGCGACCGGGAAGAACTGACCGCCGCAACGCACGCGATCCGCGGAGCAGTTGATGTTTGCGAGATCTGGGTCGAAATCCAGCTCTTCAGGCACTGGCACTGTGTGACCTCCAGTAGTAGCACCTCGGCTAAATAGAGTCCTCGCCGTTGACTGTCGGCCTCTGAAGCATCGACTGCGCCGCTGGCCTGCTGCCTGGCCGCAGCGCGGAGGTGGCCGCGTCTCTCCTTTGGCGTGGGCGCAGCTGGAACGGATGAGACGGCGCTTCCACTCCCGCTTCCGGCGCCGGCGCCGCTGACTCCAGGTGGAGATCCGCCGCCAGGCATCGCAGCAGCGCTGGCACGAGCATCGCCAACATGCCTGTTGCTAGCGCCACACCTGCGCTTGGCCTGCATGCCCAGTGAGACCTTCTGCGCTTCTTCGCGGAGGGAGGTGAGGTCCCCTGCAGTGGGTCCGAGCGCCTCGAAGACCTCCGCATCGATATCTGCGGCGAGGTCAGACTTGACCCGATCCCTCTCCTGCACGTCGGCGGGGTCGAGCTTCAGGCTTTCCAAGCTGAGCTGGGGCCGTCAACGACGGCGACACCCTCGACGTCGCTGTCACTGGACAGGAGGGGTGACAGGTTGAGCGACGCGGCGACCTCAGCATTGGGCGCTTTCTCTTTCGCACGGGACGGAACTGCTGCGCCCGCGCCGCTTCCCACGACAATAGTTTCATGTGCCGCGGACGCCGCCTAGCTTTCCGTTGCCAGAGCTTCCTGCGACCAGGTCTCGGCCTCCAACACTTTGTGAGAGCACGAGCCACGGCTTGGCGCGGCGATACGCGCAGCCCTTGATCGAGACGCTTTCCTCCAGGAGCGGCTGCCGTGAGTGTGCAAAGTTGGTGCATCCGCCTCGGGTCGTTGCGCCTCCAGCGCGGCCTAATTACTATTCCTCGCATTTGGAGCCGAGCTTGCGCGGAGCGTCGCCAACGGATCCTCCGTTGGCGCTTGGAGGCCGCGGCGGAATTTGCTTCGCCACGACCACTGGGAGGCGGGGGAGGCTTGCCTTTCTCGCCGCTGCCCTTGCCCATCTGCGCAGCCCCCGCTGGAGTGGGACTGAACGGGGATTCGGCACTAGCGTCGCGGAACGGCCAGTCAAAGATAGCTGGGGGGCCGAAAGCGCGCGGGCCTCGTGGGCGACCATCCGTTTCTGGGTTGGCCACCAACGGCCCGGCACACTGACGACTGTTTTTGAAGTTCCAGCGGTACCTGGAGTGAGGGCAGGGCGCGTGGTACTGCTGCTGCGACTTGGAAGCAACGCTCTGCGGTTCACCAGCCTCGAACTTATCCCTATCCCTAAGATTGACACGCCAAAAGGCAATGACAATCTTAGGGATGCGCCCGGAAAAACGAAATGAATCCCTATGATTGGCATCGATGAGGAGATGCCCAGCATAGGGACAGGGAGATGTTCCAGGCTGGTAAGCAGTTGCCTGCCTCCGCCCTCCCTGCCACGGGCTCGGCCCGTGGAAGAGGCTGCAGCGAAACGAACACCTGCTGGGCTTGGCGGCTCCAGCAGGCAGGCGTGAACTTGGCAACCGTTGCCGCCGGGAAGCTGGGGCACTCGAGCCGGCCCCTCTGCCTGCGCACAGGCACGAGCCACCCAGGCCCGCGGCTCGCACTCAAGCCACAGCTGAAGGGGCCCCAGGACACACAAATAAATACACACAAATAAAAAGATTCCCCATATGTTCCCATATTTTCTGGGTTCTTGTCTTCCCCCCCCACTTCCCATATTTTCCAATCTTTTCTGGGGGATCGACGATTAATTGTGTCTGTGTGTGGTTTTTTTCCCTCCTGAACAACGGCCACGGAAGACGCACCGCCGGGGGACCGCCAAGGGGGGCCCAGCGCCGGCCCGAACAACCCGTGCGGACCTTTGGAACTACACACTCGGAGCACATACGAGAGGACACCCGACAGGACACGACGGTGGCATGGCCTCCCACAGCGACAGGACATGAAGTGTACCCCTGGTTCGAGAACGCAGAGGACATGAGAGGGGATCGACAGGACACAAGAGCACCCTCGATTTTGCAGGGTCGACCTGCCAATGCGCGCCAACTGTATGTCGTTCTTCTCTATTCTGATCAACCTCCTCGTCTCTGCAGATTCAGGGATGGGGTCCCGAGGGGTGGGAGCCGAAAAATAGGACAGCGTTCCCACGTTCAACCGTCACTGTCTGAGGACACTCGGCGGCTTCCAGTAAACCCGCATTCACAAAGGTTGCCATCTCTTTAGAAGAACAAAACATGTCTTAAACATAAACTGTTGACGGTCCGCGCGGATCTTTTGGATCTGAGCTGGACCCCCGGAGCGCGCCAGGGGCGGCGCCAGGGGCGGCGCCAGAGGCGGCGCCAGGGGGGGCCCAGCGCAGATCCAAGACACCCGCGCAGAGCGCCAAACTTTTATGTTTGCGGCGTTGTTTGCTCTTCGACTTTTGCGTGCGCCTTTTTTTAACTTCCGCTGGCTTCCGCCGGCCTTCCGCCGGCGGAGACGGCCTCACGATTTCCTTCTGCGGGCTGCCGCCGCCCGCCCGCCGACGAAGAGACGACGACTCCCTGGATCCTCGAAGGCGAGGCCTTTTCTGGAACGCCTCCCCCGTCCTCAAGGGCCCCCCGTCCCTCAGGGCCACGTCGTGGAACCTGCTGTGGCAACTCCTGGGAGCCTTCCGTGCAGTCCTGCTGGCTTTTGCGAACCGCCGCCGATCGTTGCGAAATCGACGCTGAATCCACGCCGATCGACGCTGAATCGGCGCTATCCCACCTATCCCACGTCTGTGCAATCTAACGACGGAGTTGCGAGGGTGTACAGTCGGCCTGGATTGGAGAGGACACGCGAGAGGACTCAAGACCCTTCCGAGGGCCACGCTGCTACAAGAGAATGCAGGAGGCATGGGCCGCAGGCCACGGGACACGAGGGCACCCCGGCTCTGGCAGGACTGACCTACTAATCCGGGCCGCCTGTGCCGCGTTTCCATGGCTCGCAGCCGAAGTGAACCACCGTCCGTCGTCGGCGCCCGCCCGCCTCCCCGTCCCCGCTCCTCTACACCCTGCGAAATGCTTAAGAAATCATGGGTTCAGAAACTCATAGTCTCAGAATTTGAATAAAACCCAGAACTCCGACTGAGATGTTAGGGATTACATTTACACGTTAAGAATCATCGAGGCTCTGGCCGAAGAGGTCAGCTCTCTTGAGCATCGCCTCATTAGGGTGTAGCGCCGCGCGGGCGCCCCTGCCGCAGCCTTCCCGCGGCGGCGGCGCGCCGCCCTTCGCCGGGCTGCGCTGCTTCCCCCGGCCCTTGGCGCACGGGCCTCCCGGCGGCGGCACGTCGCCGTCGTTGGTCGTCGGCCGTCGTCGGCGCTCGGCGCTCGGCGTCGTCGGTCGACGGCGATCGCGTATCGTCGTCGGCCGTCAAGCGCGGAGCATTGTCGATCGTCGATCGTCGACGTCGTCGTCGTCGTCATCGGTAGGAGGAGCAGGGGAGACGAGGCAGGCAGGAAGGCGAGGGAAGTGATAGGGGGAACTGGCTCCAAGGCGGGTTGGAGGGAGGAGAAATGCTGAGGTGTAGGGGTGTTTGTCTGACGCATCGCATCGAATCCGCGTCGAATCCACGTCGAACACGCGGCGGGCACAAGAGAAGACCGCAATTCGTTGGACACACTAGGTTCCCCGAATCGGATTGAGCAACGTTCGAAAGTTCAATGTTTCAACAGAGGTTCAACATAATTTGAAAGCAACTACAGTAAAGGTCCAGCCAAGAAGATCTTGGAACAAGCTCGGAAACCACCATCGGAAAAAATGTCGAAACCCAGTGGGAAGTCCACGACATGCTCACACGCGCTCCGGATACTCGAGACTTCTTCGCGGCCGGAGTTGATCCAAACTTTTTCCAAACCCCAAGCTTAGAGCAGTGTTGACTTTGAATTTTGTGAGAGCATGGGCCTCGAACTATACCCCGCCTGCGCTTGTGCAAGCATGAATCGGGCCGGGCGAAAGGGGGGGATGGCAAAGGGGGGGTTTGAGAATCAGCTCACGTAGCTGATTTTCCAAGCGCCTCCCAGCGCCAGAGGCGACTATGTATCGAGGAATGGGCCCCTCGGTGAGGCCGAAACCAGCTGCATGCAGCAAATGTTGTAATCCCCCCTTTCCCAATCCCGCCCTTTCGTCCGGCCCGAATGTAGCCCGTTCAAAACCCCCTCGGCGCGGGGCATCCGTGAAAGACAAAAGAGCGCCCCGCGTCCGCGGGGCCGTGGCCCGCGAGGCCGTGGCCGTGGATGCGGGCACGTGCTCCGCCCACGAGCGTCGAATTAAGTCGGGCCTGTCTGAAGGGGCCCTGGGACACACAAATAAATACACACACACAAGTAGAAGGATCCCCGTATATCTTCCCATATTTGTTTGATTTCTGCCCCCCCCCCACTTCCAATATGTTCCCATATTTTCTCCGGAATTGACGATTAATTGTGTCTATGTGTTTCTTTTCCTCCTGACTGTCTCTCTACAGGAGAAGTTCTCAAAAATATTCAAAAAAAATCTGGGGACGATGTTTTGACAATTTTTGAAAATTTTAGTGCATTTGGTAACATTTGTTCTTATTTTTCTGTTGTTGCCAAAAACCCCGTGTAGGGGGACAGGCCCGACTTACGCATAGACGAAGAACACACCCACACACACCACAAACAGAAACAGAAACTTTCGGTGCTCCGCACGGATTTCTTGGATCTGCGGTGCACCTCCCTCCCTGGCGCGCGGAGCGCGCTAGCGGCGGCGCCGGATGCGTCGCCACGGGGTCCCGCCGCGGATCCGAGAAGTCCGCGCAGAGCGCCACAAGTTTCTGTGTATGTCGGTTGTTCTTCTTCGGACGTGTTCCGCCCACGAGCAAGGAGCCGGCAGGGGGCCCAGGAGGTCACCGGCACGGCGGCCCCGAGGCTGCCCCCCATCCCAAGCCTGCGTCCGCGCCCTTGGCGCCCTCGACGTTCTGCGCACTCGCGCCGAGCGCGGCTTGCTCCACTGGGCCCCTGGCCTCGCGGGGGAGGGGCGGGGGCGGAAGGGGAGAGGCATGGGGGAAGGTCGACGGGGGAAAGCGAGGAGAAGAAGAAGTATCGACCCCTGCCTCTCCACGTCATGGAAGTCATCATGACGAAACAAATTGTTTGCCCGCTGCCGGCCCCCAGGGCCGGCCCCCAGGGGAGCCGTTGCTGGGCCCTGGGGCCGTTCAGAAACGACTCGGGGTGTCGAGGAACATCCACGTTAGGAGAAAATCCTGGCGGTGGAGTTCTGGGGTGTGGGGGATCGGGGGGAAGAGATGAACGCCCACCTTTTTTGGGCGCCGCTGGCTCTTTTCAGTCTGCCCGAAGCCTCTGGGGTCTCCTGAAGCCTTCAACCTTAAGGGAAGGAGGGGAAAGTGAAGGGCGGAGGGGGGAGGCAGTGGAGAAAAGGAAAAAGCAACGGAGGACGACGAGAAGACCGGGATAGCGAGGCTGAGGAGGACGAAGAGCTGACGGTGAGGAGCGAAACAGAGGAGAAGCAACTGGGGGGCAATGGGGGAACAATTGTTTGGGACCTTCGGGCCATGACCGCGGGGCCGAACTACACCAAAGTCCAAACACGAAAACCCTTGACCTGACATGCGCTCGCGCCGACACAGGTCCCACATGGGGAGCACGACGAGGAAAGGTAACAGAAAGGGGGCAGAGGGAATGAGAAAGGGGGAACGAAGAGGAACGGAAAGCCGAGGAGGATGAGCAGGAGGAGGAGGAGGAGGAGCAGGGGATTCAACTTCTTCGCTTGTAAACACTGGCCGCCGCTGCTGGAAATGCCATCGCTCTCCCTCCCCATCCGTTACAATCGTCTTGCCGCCCTCTGCCGTAAAGCCACGAGCCGCTAAAACACGATCTGGATCTAACGAGGGGAGAGGAAGAAGGATGAAAGGGAATGAGGGGAAAGACGGAAGGAGGGAGGGAGGGAGGAACGACACGCACACAAGTCATACGCCAGAGGCGCGTGGACGCTGCCATTGTTGTACAACGCTGTGCTGCCACATGAGCTCCTCATGCTGCACCACGGTCGCCCACTAAATGCGCGGACGCCCGCATCGATTGACATACCGCTGCGAAACCGGGATGGTGGTGTTCGAGACGAACGCATAGGGACGAAACGCATATGCGGCATGTGATCGAACGACCTTCCCGTGCAGCATTAATTGCTCCTGCAGCGCAAGCATGTCCAAAGGTGGGCAGCCGGCCCTTTGGAGCACTGTAGCGTTGGATACACTAGACACACAAGACGAAGAAATTCGCAACATTGATCCCAGACAGCGGGAATAGAAAGCATTCAGCCTCGTAGTCTCTGCCACGTTCAGCCATGCAGATTGCAAGCCGTACGTGATCCTCGACCAAAAAAAAAACATGCGCATTTTCTTTGGGCAGCGAACGAGACGCGTGGCCCCCAAGCCTCTTCAATACCGTGAAATCTCCCCACCCTTGTCCCAATGTGCAAGATAATTCCGGCATGGTCTGCCCGCCCGCGCAGATCCCCACTCCCAAATAGGTCATGCTGTCCTTCATCGGAATAGCGTCCCCGGTGGGCGTCTGGAGAACAGACTTCCTCATTATTCCGATCAGCTGGAACTTCGACCAGTGAAGCGCCATGCCGTAATTACGAGCCGCCGACGTGCGCAACAGAGTCGAGCATGTCTCGTAGTCGGGCCTTGTTGCGGCCTGCCTAGAGTCTGGCAGACGGCGCGCATCCCCCCGGGCTTCCGGCGAGTCTGGCAGACGCATCGTCGACGATCACTGTCGTGAGCATCGCGAACAAGAGAGGAGACAGCGGGCATCTTCGAGAAATTCCAGATTTCTGCTCTCTGCCATCCGACTCTGCGCTGAACGCCGCCGGCGACGCAGAAACGCCGACCAACGACGCAGAAACGGCGCTCCGAGTATATGTGATGCACCATGCGGACATACTTTTCTGGTGGTCCGAACCGGCGGAGGGCCACCATAAGCGCGCCCACGTTGATGGAGTCGAACGCATTCTGCTACTCAACGGCCACCATGCCGACTTGCCCATCCTTCCAAGCCAATTCCATGTCAATGCGCGGGCGCACCATGAGAATGGCGTCGCTGGTGCTCTGGCCAGTGCGAAAGCCGAACTGCGCGTTCGTCAGCCGTCCCTCTGCGCCAGCCCGCTGCTTCAGAAGGATGGAAGAAAAAAGCTTGCAGGTCACGCAAAGGACTGACTGGCCCGTAGTTGTCGCAGAGCGTGACGCCCCCTTCTTGCGCACGGCACTCGCGTTTGCGTCGTGACAATCCTCGGCTCGGGGATACTCCCTTTCTAGCCGATGTTCGTTGCGCACGCGCGCGAGGCAGGTGAGCCCTTCTGGCTTCCTCGCCAATGCGTGCCAGTACTCGCCGTGCACGCCATCTGGCCCACGCGCTCTGTTCTTCATTAAGCCGCGGGAAGCGTCGCCCACTTCTGTTTCCGCGATGTCCCCGAGGTCTGCTGGCAAGTCGTCTCCCAGTGGCTCGCCGCCGGACGTTGCTGCTGGTCTGACGTGCCACTGGATTCGCCCGAAGTGTTCGCCAATGGTGCCGGCCCACATGTCGCTGTCAAGCAATGCGCCGCTCTTGTCCATAAGCTTGACATGTCTCGGTGCCCGCGGTTTCCAGTTGGCTCAGATGCTCTGCCAGCCCCCGGTTGCAAGCCGATTGCCTAAACAATTGGTTTTGTCATTCTTGGCCATGTCCATGCAAGTTTTGCGCAGCTCGCGCTCCAACCGCTACTCAGGCAGCGCGCTTGCGGTCCAAAGCAGCCAACGTCTATTCGGACATCTACGGCCCGCTCGCTTTCCGGGCAAGCGCCGGAAGCGCGGCCTTCGCAAGAGCCGCTGCCCAGCCTATGGCCGCCCAAGCTATTGACGCAGCGCCCTGGCCCCCCCCCGCCGCCACGCTGTCGCAGAAGACGGTGGCAAATTTTCGTGGGACACCCTGTTGCTCTCAGGCTGCCGCGCCCTGTCTGCGGGGGCGGGCCGTTTTGCTGCCATCGCGCCCGACAACCTCCACCACGGCTTGCACTGGAAAGTGGTATGTTGCAAGGGCTGCTCCGTGGATGGACCTCAAGACTCAGACTTCTGAACCTTGCTCTGTCACAGGATCTGCTGGCGCGACCCCAGGCCCCAAGAAAACTGCCTTGCCCCCCGCCCCCCCTGGGACAGAAGCGTTCGCCCCTGCCAGAGAACTTCCCCAGTGCGGCTCCCTCGGCAAATCTCGATTTGGAATATCCAGTTCGCGGTTGGCACAGGCGCCGAAAACGCGCCCACCAAGAACGCGCTCATCGCCGTGTTCGCTGCGCCCCAGTCTCGAATTCGCGCCCCCGAAAATCAATTTCCGTTTGCCGAGCAGCGCTGGTGCGCAGCATCTAGAGCGAGGACAACACGCAACCTCTCGTCGAAATCTCGGCCGCCATGCGGAGCATCAACGCACGCGTCGCCCATGGTGCCCCCCTGAACCTTCAACTTCAAGCAGCACATGCGGTCGACGAACGAACGCAACTCATGGCGCGCGCCTGAAGCAGCTGCACTAGCAAAAACAAACGGTCGGCCGTTGCAACCGAAGATGTCGGGACAAGCCCGCCCCAGAAAACAGCGCGCGGTCTCTGGGGCCCTGTCAACTGCCTGAGTGGGCCACGAGGGGCCGCGAGCAAACGAGCGCTAGCGCGCCCCCGCCCGAGAGCTCTGAATCGTGCTAGGACCTCCGCGCTGGAGGACTGCCTGGGGCGTTTGCACGAGCATTCGAAGGGGGCGGGCGGGGACTGGGCGTGGGCGGGGCGGGGGGGGGGCGCGGGCGGGCGCGGTCATCGCACCCCCGCGAAATTTACAGGGAGTCGCTCCCGCGGGCCCGTCCGCGCCAGCAGCAGCTCGCAGTAGACGATGCGCGAGGATCTTCTGGTGTAGATGCTCTGTCGGCCTGCCCCCCCATCGGAGCACCCCCTTTCACGGTCGAGGCAACCGCGGCAAAAGTATTGGACCAAGCCGGCCTCTGCTCGCTGACTGCGCTCGAAATCGCAAACCGCGCTCAGCATCGCAGGCGGCCCGAAGGCCGACGACGCCGCCGGCGGCGACGAGGTAACGACTGGGCATCGCTAGCGCGGCCAACCTGGACCCGGAAAGCTGGCCGCCCTCGACGCGTCTGCCAGCGCCCGGCATCGCGGGCCCCCCCGAGGCCAACGACGCCGCAACGAGCGACTCTCCTGGGCCCCACTGGTGGCTCAGATCAAATAGCCCCGCGAGCCTCGAACGCAGCAGCCCCCCCCATGTGGAGCACGGGCGCCATGTCCGAGCGAACGTTTCTTTTTCTGGCGTTTCCGCATTGAGCGAAAGGGGGGGGGGAGCTGGCTCGGCTTCAGACCTCTGATCAATGCGATTGTTTTCGGCAGCGCGTCGAGTGGGGGAACTCCGCCCGCGCGACACAGGCGCCGAAACAGCCGAGATCTACTCCGCGGGCGGGGGGGGGGTCGAGGGCCCGCGCCGATCGGCAAAACAACGAATGAGCAAACGATCGCGACCCGATCTCGCCCCCTCGTCTGTTCCATGCACTTCGCGATGAGTTCCAAAACTGCCGAACTGCCCGCGCCCGCCACGCGCGCGCCGACGCCGCCCGCGCGAGCGAGAACCTGAGCTCCATCGCGACCAGGGGGAGATCCCGCAGGCGCCCGACTCCGCCCACGTCTTTCTCAAGGCCCTCGATGGGCCCAACTAGGAACGAAGTCGGGCCTGTCATCCGACAGGCGGAGTTTGAAAGAAACGAAGAGAATCCACACAAAAAGACACATAAAAAACTATCCAAACATATGTAGAAGAAACATCCACCCATACGCTTATTTCACGTTGCTGGCTCTTCCTCCTGTAGATGTGCATGCCCTACCTAACACTAGAGCCGCGCAAGGAATCGCGCCGCGCTTCTTCGGGTCTGAGGCCGACCCCCGCCCGGCCCCGAACCTCTGCGCGCCGGCAGCCCCCGCGCGCGA